ATGCATGCATGAATGAAAGTATGTCTGTATGTATGTGCATGGACATGCACTTTCCTACCGCACTATATCACAAACGAGCAAATTCTCAGCCTCGGACCCCGACTGCCGCACTCACACACTCCGCCGGGATGGGTTCTGTCATGAAGGAGACGCCGACGGTGACCACGCCGGTGAGGAGCCAGAGGATGCAGCCGAAGTGCAGGTAGTGGACATTCCCCACCAGGAGCTTCACCAGGTACGGCCGGGGGTCTGGCGTGCCTGTAGGTGAAGGAGGGAGGCCGACTGTCTAAAGTCTGCCTTGTAACCGTGCCTCAGTTCGCTAAGCAACTCCTGGTATCATAATTATCATTACCATTGTCACTATCATTATCATTATTGTCATTTTTATCATTAACATTATTATGATTATTATTATCAACATCATTATTATTTCTATCTGTATAATAATAATGATAATTATTGTAATGATAATAATCATCATTATCATTCTTAACCTCATCATTATCTTCATTATTGAATTTATCTTCACAATTATCATTATTATCATCAATGTTATTATCATCAATGATAACATCAATTATAAAATGATGATAATGAAAATGATGGCAGAAGTAGTAATAGTAGTAGTAGTAAGAGTAGTAGTGGTCGTAGTAGTAGCAGTAGTAATAATAGTAATGATAGTATATTATTAATATCAGTTGTGGCAGGAACATTTTATCATTATTATTATTTTTATTATTATCATCATCATCACCATCATTCTCATTATTATCATCATTAGTAGTAGTAGCTGTAGTTGCAATAGTAGTAATAATAATAAAAACAATGATAACTATGGTAAAAATTGCTTTAAATCTTCCCGCCAATGAAAATGGCCGCAGGTTAACTGCCTGCATATGTCAGCTCACGGCCGTGCATCTACGCCAACTCCCACGGGGACTTACTGTCGCCACAGGTCGGAACCAGGTAAGAGAACTGAACGATGAATCGAATCATCCCTATAAGGAGCCCGGTCATCAGGCCCCAGAAAGCGCCCTGTGAATAAGAAGAAACAAGTGACAACAGTAATGTACAATCTGCATGTATTACTGTGGATGTTTTGGTAACTGCATGAATGATAACTAACTACATCTTGTATCCGCAGTTCAGAATGGGAATATGTATTGAAAATGTACTGAAAGGGGTATTAAATCATGTTTTCATTTATTGGTCATTCAGAAACTACTGACCTTTATACGGTTAAACGTTTTAAAATATCTATTCTAGCACTAAAGAAAAACGGCCCTAGGACTATATAGCAATAAAAACAAGGCCTCTAGGACTATACTATAAGGTTGCAAAGAGTCACTTACGGCCTCATTCGTCCTCGGCCAAAAGATGGCTAATATGTACACAGCGCAAATGGGCGGCGCCAAGAAGGAGGAGATAGACTGGATGTAGTGGAAGAGCTGGGAGTTGCCAGAGTTCCTGAGGAAGAAGTAAAAGGGGTTAAAATAGAAGGAGTGGTGAAAGACAATAATTCCACAATAAATGAAGGCAAATATGGGAAAACTGGCAGTTGGAAAGTCAAGAGAGAAAAATTGACCCATAGCGAGTGACAAATAACGTGCCAGTAGAAACAATATATATAGTTTCGTATCAGAATCACTTACTGAATCACAGGAATCCATATCACCGAAATGGCAACTAGGACAAGCACGAAAACTCGACCCACAAACAGGAGTTCCGTGTCCGAGGGCTTAGACGCCAGCCGGCCGATCTTGAACTTCTTCCGGAACAGCAACCAGATGTCTATCGTGAAGATGGTGGAGGCGGAGTTGAAGATCGACGTGAGGGAGGTCATCAGGGCCGCCATCATCACCGCCAGCATCAGCCCCGCCAATCCTGAAGAGATGGATCAGTATAAGGCATTCACTCCGCACTTCTTAATGGGATTTTGAGATACAGCCATTTGATGAGTTAGCCTACAGAGGAAAGTCAAACGTACATTAAACAGAAAAAAACACAAACTCACCCGTGGGTAACAGATTCAAGACTAGCTCAGGATAGGCAATGTTGCTACATCCTCCAGGGCTCCCGCAAATCTTGATGCATTCCTCAGGGTCCGCGCAGGCCACGCGCTCGGGGTACAGGATGCGGGCAGCCATCCCCGGGAATACCAGCAGCCACAACGGCAGGAATTTGAGGTAGGATGTGAGGATACACGCTGCTTTGGCGTGTGTCATATTTTTGCTAGCCAGCGCCCTCTGAACAATCACCTAGGGAGAGGAAAAAGGAAAGACCTAATTCATGATTTCTTTGGAGAAATGCATAAAACATTTTTTTCTGAAATCTAGGCTTTTGGATATTTACGAAGTGTTTATCTGCTGACTCATTGTGCCCTGCGAACTGGACGTACCTGGTCGGTGCACCAATACCACATAGAGTTGATCCGAAGTCCGATGATCATGCCCGTCCAGGGGTAGTCGGACAGGCCGGGCTGGATTGGGTGCAGGAGAGACAGGTAGTACGGCGAAGGTTCTCCACAGGTCTTATTTTGACGATCCGTTGCGCGCACGCTCGCGCGCGCATAAGGATAATCCTCTACCAGCTTCGCGAAACCACCTACCTCCCTAAAGGCTGAAGAAGAAGTCTAGGTATAAGGCTTCTTTAAAGCAAATTAATGGCGATTGAGGATAATGTTAAGAGCAAAATCAGGTTAAGGACTTCTCCAAGGAAACACGAGAACGCGCTGGCTGAAGTTCAGGAACACGGAGTACTCACAAGGCAACACGGCGATGAAATTAGTAGCGAGATACTTACAGAGGAACATGAGGATGAAGGCACCGCCCACCATGAGTATGGTCTGCACGAAGTCGGTCCACACGACGGCCGACAACCCGCCGGCGATGCAGAAGATGGCGGCGATGGCGAGCAGGATGAGGATGGAGAAGTACAGCCACTCTGAGGAGTTCTTGTTCAGGGCCAGCTGGATGAAGAGCGCGCCTGCGTACAGGTCGGCCTATAGGAACCATATAAAGGTCGGTCATGAAAAGAATCTGTTTTGGTACCTTATTACTCTTTAGTATTTACGTTACCCTATTATTTACGACACAAATAAGGAAACCGACTTCGGAAAACCATATAGGCCTACGCACTACCAAATACAAAAAAACACCAACAATCGAAATTATTATTCCAAAAACAAAAACAAAACAAACAAACAAAAAAAATCACCGAAATCTTCGTGAAGATATAGAGGATGAGCGCCAGGCAGGAGAGGTAAACGCGAATCCTTTGTCCTCCAAATCTCAGCCTGAGATATTCCGGCATCGTGTACACGCCAGAACTCAGGTACACCGGCAGGAAGAGCCATCCGAGCATTATGAGGGTGTAGATGGACTGGAGGATTGAGATGGAGTTGTGAATTGGCGGGGAAGGCTATAATTATTACAGATTGTTTTCGTTTTGTTTTTCTTGCTAGTCTTTTCTTAATATCTATATCATAGTTTACATAGGCTATTTTTCTATAGTCTTCATTTAATCTATCCTTTTTCTATAGCATATATAAGATAGATATTTAAATAATCTTACTTTCTGGTTCATGTACCGATCAAAATAGTTTATCTCCATATACAGAAGATTAAGTGTTTGTATTTCTCTCTTTTCATGGTGCTGGAGATAATCATAAACTGATAGTAGACAACAATATATCTATTTTTTTCGCTCGAACTTGCGAACTGCCTGACGCAAAACTTCACCAACCCGAGAATGTGAAACCGTTAAAAGAAATTTGCTTGTGCCTGCCCAAAAATATTACCCCAACGAAAGAGACTCCTACTTGCAAATAAAGTATTATATACCATCACTGTATACGTGTATACACAGCGTCAGGCTTTCGAATTCCCTATTTTTAAAACGGAAAAAGAATCGCGAAGCGCACTGGGTATACATCACTAAAATATTTTCACGGAAAAAAGTGTTCCATTATAATATTCATAAATCATATTTTTTATTTGAGTTATAACAACTGAACCTCGTTTGAAATTGTATATAGTCGGCCGGTATTTTGTTTTTGTTTGTTTTCATAAATACAGACGCAGAAATACAGGCATATCTGTCTATATATCTGATAGATATACATTTAACTATCTATTTGCCCGGTTGATACGCAAGTCTAGCATGATAAATATGCATTTATTTCTTTATCTATGCATGTCAAGCATACGAATATTTTTTGGGTCGGGCCTCGCGCAATTCTAACAGTTTATCGCGGATCTTTGTTGGCTGAATAATTAACCGGCATTCATCTTATCCCAGTGAGACACAGAAAGTTACCTTGAACGCCGGCAAAGCGACCTTGACAGGGTGACAACAATGAAGGACTACCCTTGGAGCTTAAAAAAAGAAAGGGACTACTGGTAAGGCAGAAAATCCTGCAACTGGTGCTCTGCGCATGCGTGGCGAAACATGCTTGGCGGCGGCGTCTCGACACGAGATGATACCACTTTTAAATAGGTAAGGTTAGATTAGGTTAATTTTGGTTAGAGTCAGTTCGCTGTTATTACCCGGAAATGGCACATATGTGTGCCGTACGTATAACCGCGATAAATCAGATACGGCTGCCGTATACGTAACCTCGGCCATTAAAAAAGGACACTTGAAAGGCCTTATAAGATTGTACACTGTCTGGGTCTTGCATGAAATATCTGCGAGAGAAATTATTCCTATGCTTTTGATGTATCTTTAATTCTATAGAAGTAAAAAGCTTATTAAATATTATTCACTTCAGTTCAAGAGTTACTTGTCACCTGCGCTTGTGATCAGGGGCGTTTGAGTAGGCAGAATCCTGGGGGAATTTATAAAGAAATTTCTAACTGTTTCACCTGAAATCTGTTTGCACGTTTTGTATGTGTGTATGTGTATGTGTGTGTGTGTGTGTGTGTGTATGTATGTATATATGTATATATAATATAATATATATATATATATATATATATATATATATATATATATATATA